CCTGCCCGGCATTACAGCTGAGCATCACCACGTGCCGTCACCGGTGACCTGCAGAGCTGGCGTGGGGTGACTCACAGGCATTACCATGGAGAGGAACACGTCCACAGCACCTTCACGTGGCTGGACCTCATCCCACGCCTGGACCAGACACCCCTTGCATCTCTCCTGGTTGACCCTCGTGCCACCTTTGGCAGACACGAGAGCCCGGGACATTCAGAAAGCTGCATCTGGAGCAGCAGCTCCCACCCTGCGCCTGCTCAAAGCAACCATGGCCAAACACCCTGTTTCTTAAAAAAACTCCCAGGTCCCTTTCCCGCAGCTTGGGGCTGGCGTGATGAATGGCTTTAAGCTCAGCGTACTCCGCTCCAAGCATCGCCTGCACGTTGCAGCAGCCTCCAAGCTGCCCCAGACGGAGCTTGCTGCTTGCAGGAATTCAGTAATGTCAATATTGGGAATATCCACATCCCTGGACAAGCTGCTGTCCCTGCTTCGACACATCTCACGGCGCAGAAACTGTTATCCCAGTTTCACAGCTGGGGAACTGAAGCCCGTGGCAGAGGAGCAGCTTGCAGAAGGGCAAGGAGCCAGATCCTCACCCAGGTGACAGGGATCCACCTTGCTGGCCCTGGCACTCACCTCGAGATGCTGCAAGTAGGAAAACAGCCTGAAGATCACCCCCAGCCTGGTCCCCCAAGCTGCCTGCTGCAATAAGCCAGACCTCAGCGAGTCAAAGACCACCTCTGCACGCAGGAGGGTCATCACGAGGCACAGGCTTTCACAGCACCCGTGCTGCTACAGCTTACCTGAAGCAATTACATTTTTTTTCCTATCTGAGCACGTCAGACAGTTTCATTTTTCTAGCCTAAGGATGAGTTTAAAAGCCAGTGTTTTACCCAAAGCCTTGCAAATTCCTCCTGGAGCCTCTGACAACCATAGATTTTATCTGGTGCATAATCCAATACAATTTAGTGTTTTTTCAACAGTCCAAATCCCCTCTAAACTCTATTTCAGCAATTAGAGGTTCATCTCTTTGAAAGCTAAGGCATGACTATCTTTTACTTGGCTCCAAGTAGGCAATGTTATTTCCCAATTAGTTGTTCGCTATTAATGCAAAGTCCTTGAAGAGTATTTTGATTTTACCTGTTCTTTAGGGGAATCAGCAGCTCTTTGTGAATCATTTTGCTTCCAAATAAGTTTGAGCTTCACATCTGTGAAGACTCTGTAACCGTCAGCTTTAGGAAGAAACAAAATGCAATTTTCACGATGAGCTCAGGAAATTCAAGGGTTTGGCGCCTAGTCTTCATTGTATATTGGGCAATAAATACCTAGTTAAGGCAGCAATAAGGTAAAAAGGCATTACCTTTTGTACTACACCACCTTCCCACTAGACTTAAAAGATGGGAGCAATAGAATAGGAAAAAGGCAAGAACATTTAAAGCGTTTACAAAATTACAAGGTGACAATTCAGGTATTTGAATGTGTACAAACTAATTCAAAAACATATTTTAGCTTTGTTTTCAAATAGGAAGCCGCTTTTCAATTGCTATCCCTAGCTACTTGGTATGGAGGTTTTTTTATTGTTATTGTCTTCCATCAGGTAGATAACACAGATGCTCTGGCACTTAGCTCTTGGGACCAGATCCTCAGCTGCTTTAGAGCAGCGCGATTCACTGCAACAGCACTCGCTCAGGGCAGAGAAAGAAGGTGTCCCCAAGCCATTTTACCATCGAAAAGGAGCCTTGCTCAGGAAAGAGGCACAGATCCGCAGCTCCCTACCAGACTTGAACGTCTCTTGCAGCTCTGAGTGTCCAAATAATTCTGATACTGCTGCCGTTTTTCAAAGCTCTCAGGCTGGTACCCAGCACAGGGGCACCCTCCTGTCACCAACACATTGGTGGGGACAGGAACCACACAGACATCTCCCAGCGGGAAGCGCAGCTATGCCCCTCGAATAGGTAGCAGGAGGTAAGTTGGACACAGCTCAGTGCAGACTCCAGCAGCAGAAACTGCAAAGACCCTCCCCTCCCATTTTGCAACTTTACCAATTTTGTGTTTTACTGAAATTTTACGCTACGGTCAGTTATTAAGAGGTATATGAAAAGTGTGGAGTAAAAATGAGAAGCATCTTTCATAGTAAGAAGAGGCATGACTGGTTATCAGGTTCAGGTGTTGGCAATCACAGCAACCTACCATCTTTAACACAAACCCTTGGGAGAAGTCATCTCCTTTCTGCCTGGAGCCAGGACACTGCCCCAGCCCGCACGGCTCAGCACACAGAGGGAATTCGCTTCTCTGGACACAGCCGGGTTATTAACACACCTGCAACCGCTCCCCCGCGCAGGCAGAGGCACTGCACAACTGCAGCGTGTGGATCGCACCAACCTTGCCAGAGGGTAAGAAGCTCAAAGCTCTCAAATACAAAGCTGGCATCACATCCACTTCTTGCATTTCATGTTTCTGCCCAGTTATTCTTGTCCGTAGAGCCCAAGCCACAGCTTAACCGAGTGCTACCAGCTCCTCTACCTCTGCAGCTCCCCAGCAGCATTCACGGCGATTCACATCAGCTGCTGAGCAACCGGCTCTTGCACCACAGCTCCCCATCCTCTGCTGCAGCCAGCAGCAAAGCTGATCAGTTCATTCACTTCCTTGAAAAAGAACAAATCTTTCTGACTGTAGCATGGGTTAAAATAATGCTTAAGAACAAGAGACTTACTCTTCTCCAGTAAGAATCCCCCTAACCTAAGAAATTCAGTAATTGGTTAGAAAGCTGTTTTCTGATTTTTCAGAAAATTTCAGAAAATTTTCAAATTTCTTGCATTTGAAGCCAAACAGATGCACTCCATAGGATTCAACTCTGTATATCAGAGAAATTGGAGGAAAAAAAAAAAAAAATCAATCACCAGAGGAACTAAATCTTTTTATTTATTTAGTGCAGAAGCTCACCTTTACACCCACCTTACACTGAAGAGTTTCTAGATAGGAACCAGGGATTTAACCATGTCTCATTCAAAGAGAGACAGGCCCAACAGCATCCTCCAGCTGCAACAAAGCTGACCATTCCCCAGTCCAGCACCAAACCTGGATCAGCACCGGCCAGAGCTCCCCAAGTGACCCCAAATCTGCATCCCTGTGCGCCACACAGGTCACAGGAGCAGCAAAAAGGAACTGCTTGCTCATCATCATCCTCCCGTGCTGGCACGCCACAGCTGGTCAGCACTTTCATGCACAATGGTCTGCACGGCATTTTGAGAACTAGTGCGTTATTAAAACGTAGAAACCCTTGCAGAAATCTTTTCAGTCTAATGTTACTGCCTCAAGGCAAAGGGAAGATGGAAATCCTCTGAGCAAGTCAGCCCCATACAGTTATATTTTAATTTTTCTATCAGGCTTTAATTTATCTTACTTAGTATCCCAGGATTAGCTGTTCTTTCCCTGTAGCTAGCTGCAGGTTTAATCCCCTTGCAATGAAGCCATGGCAGCAGCTCTCAGGATGACAATAACCCATTTCCCCCAGATGTAGGTATTAACCCAGCTAGCTGCTTTAACTCCCATTTGTTCTGTGTTACTTAGCAAATATTCTTCCAAGTTTCATTAAATTAGTTTCAGATCAATGCCTAAACCACTGTCGCCAACTGACTAACCACAGCAGCACACAGCTCAGCGCAAGTTTATTCAGCCAGCTGGGGAAAAAGCAGCCCGGTGAGCTCCGTGCTGTTGCTGCCAACCCGCAGCATTATCCCCGCAGCCCTTCAGCTTTTGCTGTAAGCACACCCCAAATCCCTGCTCAGCTGCTGCACGTCCCCAGAGGTTCCTCGTGGGAAGTTTGACATTAAAGCTCAGTGAAGGCCAAAGTCAGGCATGCCTGCCTGCTCTGGTAGCTCAGTGCTGAGCTCATACCCACAGGATCCATTAGATCTCTGCTTCCATCACCACAGAAACCAGAACAAGCTCTGTGACAGGAAGGTGCGGCCGCGCTTCAGTTCAGTGAGGTACTCGCTGAGGACAAGGATGAAGGTACAGTGCTCTCTTTGCCTCAGGAGAGAGGTTTCACCACCACACAGCATACTCCAGCCACCAGGCCAGCGTCCGGGTTTGCTCCCACTCCCTCCTCACCACCCCATCTTGTTCAGTTCAATTAAATAACCAATAGGACAAAAAAAAAAGGCTACTAGGGATTCCCAAACTAAATGCAGAGCACCCAGCTGGAAGGGATCAGCCCATTTGCCATTTCAGGCACAAAGCATCCATCCAGTCAGCAACCTCACACAGAGCAGCCTAGCTTCAGCAGAGATGCTCCAAAACCAGCCTGAACAGCAGGACAGCCACCCTGACACTTTTAATCCCCTTCGAGGGAACTAGAAGACCCCAACTCCAGGCCTGGCACACCTGACAAGTGTTTCTTCGCCCAACTCTCTTCAGTCCTATCATACCAGAAGCTTTTAAGTGGCTGGAAAGCTCGGAAAAGGCCAGATGAAGTGGAAGAGGTGTGTGGCTTCAACCATATTAAACCATTTCCTTCAGAAGGAGGGAGGTTTGGACTACACAGCACATCACACCAGGGCTCCAGCAGACATCTGCCCTGTCCAAAGGCTGCCACTGGCTCAGGATGCTGTTTTGATATCAAGTGTGACTTTCCCCACAGCTTCCCCCACCCTGAAGCTCCAGACCTCCCAACAAGCGAGAAAGGCTTGGGCACAGAATTTGAGGTACAGCTGTGCACCACAGACATGTTGTAACATCACCATTTTCTATGTCAGCAAGAGCAGAACTTGCCAGCACCTAACCCAAGCAAGTCCAGCATTACCGGCAGCTCCAGCAGACTGCCCGGATATTCACCTACCAGCCATTTTAAATGGACCATTCTACTGCTTTGCTTGCAAACCTGGAAGCTCAGTGGCATCATACAAGCATCAGCACTCTTGACACCACCAGGTTTTGTGCGGGGAAGCTGAGGACACCAGGGCAGGCTCGTTTAGGCCTGTCCCCCGTGCAGCACTCACCCCTCTGGAAGGACCCCTGTGAAGGGCTGGAAGCCCCGTAGCCACTAGAACCACAAAAGGCAAATGCACACATGCTAGTGGGGCAGGGAAACTGTTTATTAAGCAGGGCTGTACCGAGATGCTGTAGATGTTTCAGAGAGGCCGAGGGAAGCCCCGGGAACTTCTGGCGACAGCCTCATCCTCCCGGCGCTCAGTCCAGCTGCAAGAGAGCGAGAAAAGCCAGAGGCGTCAGTAGGAAACGGCACACCCGCCCCTGACTGCAC